TACTACATTATAGTAGTCATGTGCAATAGGAAAGCCAACCAGTCACTATAACTTGGACTGACACTTCAATTGGACAACATTCAATTTGACGTACGAACTTCAATTGAAGTTATAGTGACTAGTTTGCTTTCCTATTCCAGATGACTACTATAATACCCCAAAATACATTGAACCTACCTTTGGGTTTACAGTGAACCTACCTTTGGGTTTACAGTGAACCATGCATACTTATGTAATGTAAGAATAGAAAGTATCTCAATTCTTACTTTATGTAAATAGTGCAGCCATTGGTTTATGATCCACTTCCTTTCTTAATGCATAGCAATACCTTACATTAATTTTGCAGTGTAAATCATCCTTCATTGTAAATCAGCCTTCATTGTAAATCAGCCTTCATTGTCAATCAGCCTTCATTGTCAATCAGCCTTCATTGTCAATCAGCCTTCATTGTCAATCAGCCTTCATTTTCAAGTGTATTAATGCATGTTAATAAAAACAGCCTGGGCACTCTTCACATTACATGCTATACCTCACCATTCAGTGTTCAGTAGATACATGTTGTTGCATACAATGCAGTATACATTAGTCTACATTAATTGAATGGGCTATTGTCTAGTTGAGGTGTCAGTCCAAGTTACAGTGACAAGTTGGCTTTCCTATTGTACATGACTACTATAATGTAGTACCTCAATACAAGGATACACTGTATACTGTAAACAACTTATATACATGTGTGCTCTCCTCGTGCATGGAATAATATTGAATGAATTTAGTGGATATGTTCTTCAAATCAGTAACATATAAGCATATACAATATGCAGCTATACCAGCTACCAAGAGTATGCATGTAATTGCATTTTATAAAATTCATTTCATTCACATGCACACGGGAACTTGCTATTAATGTTATTAAAATGAAAATTGAAGACACTATTCGTAAACTCATGTATATATTTAACTTTGTATACAGAAGCAGCTTTTGTGGTTACTTTGATGTGTAGTCAAATCAACTCAAAATATCTCCAAAAATACATACAACCAAGAGCACTTGATGCAACTGTATCTGTGCATGGGCTTACATTAAGACCCAATCATCAGCTACAGTTCATTAGATATAAGTTGTTTATAGTTGTATCCTTGTATTGAGGTGCTATATTATAGTAGTCTTGTCTAATAAGAAAGCCAACTAGTCACTAAAACTTGGACTGACACCTCAACTGAACAATAGCCCATTCAATTGCTGTATACTCTACTGTACTGCAGTATGCAACAACCTGTATCTACTGAACTCTGGTGTGGTATAACATGTAATGTAATGACTGCATGTCCAGGCTACTTTTATTAACATGCATGCCGTTGATACACTGAAATGAAGGCTGATTTACACTGCATAATTATCATTATTCATTAAGGTAGAAAGTGCTGTATAAACCAATGGCCACTATTTATAATATGTAGAGTTAAGAAGTGAGATTCTTTTTTACGTTACATAGACAGTGGCCATTGTTCTATACAGCACTCCCTATCATAACATACCGTAGGGCGCCTTTTTTTCGAGGGCTATGAATTTCGTGGATTTTTATTTTGCGGATTTAATTTTCACGAATTTATGCCGTCTGCCATCTTGTACCGTATTGATTTGATTTTCGCAAAAGTAAATTTATTGAATCTTTAAAAAAATCGCGAAATCCGCGAAATTTATAGCCCTCGAAAAAAAGGCGCCCTACGGTATAGCATTACCTTATGTTAATTTTGGATCGTAAAGTTGAGGCAACTTGTTGCTACTGAAGTAGCATGTTGCCAAAAATGGAACATCTTTCTAGTCACCAGCTGGTTCAACCTTTGATAGCTCAACATTGTATATATATATGCTTGTTACTAATTTCAAGAATATCCACTGAATTCAGTCAATATTATTCTATGAGGACAGCACAAGTTGTTTACAGTATACAGTCCAGTGTATCCTTGTATTGAGGTACTATATTATAGTAGTAATGTGCAATAGGAAAGCCAACTAGTCACTATAACTTGGACTGACACCTCAACTGCAATAGTATATTTGTATGAACACCTTCACTGTACAGTGTCATACATGTAGGTGTAACAACATTTTTCAGCTTGCAAGCAATTACACCTACTAATCTGGACCTACTAATCATGGTCTCAGATATGGATTGTATAAAACGATGGATAATGCCAATTTAAACCATGTATCTCTCATTGGTCTATGGAAAGAGTTGTATTGTACATGTACTTTTGATTGCCGCTTAATTAAAATGCAGTTCTTAAAAGTCTGTTTGTATGCTTTATTCACAATCAGCTCATTCTTTGCCCTCCCACTGTTAACCCTTGATAAGTAAGAGCTCATGGATGTACATGTACATGCAAAGAAATGAATTTAAAAAAAATTTTATTTACTTACCAAATATTTTGCATCTGTACATTATTGTTCTCTCTCTCTTCCTTTCTCTCTATTTCTTTTCCTATTATTTTCAGTGCAACAGAAGACAAGTAAACCTGATCCTACACACTCCTGGCTCTTGTCATTTCCTGCCCTAACCACTCAGTACTGATAGTTTATTACTATCAATTGTATCGCTATTTTAGATATTTTGTCTGTGTGGATCTTTTGTAAAAATTATCTTTTCTTCCTCTTCTCCTTACATCAGTGACATGTTCTGTTGGAATTCATTGGACATGGATACTGACATTGTATACCTATTTGTTTAACTAATAAAATGAAATACAATGGTAATTTGTAAGACAATGGAAGTAAATGGTGGATGTGGGCCGATGGATTGTAATAGCTGCTAAGCATAGATTCATGAGTTATCTTTCTATATACAGTACAGCCTGTACCTTTTTGTCTATAATTGTTCGCTATATGGAAGCTACACTGTACTGCGATGATAATACTTTAGCAGCTCACCACGTGATTTCACGTGTACCAAAATAGTGATTCTTGCCACTCCTACAAATGGCGGCCAGTGCTCAGAATGAAGCAGAGAAAAGGCTCCTTTACTTGTGCAGCAAAGGTAGTAATGCTACTGTATTGAGTTGCTACTTATTAAATGTTGTATAGAAAATAAAGAGGTGGCTAATGTATTGACTGATGTGAGAGAGATACTGGATGATCCTTCAGTTAGAGTGGATGCCACAGATAAGGTATTGAGAGATTTATCTAACCTGTAATAGTTGAGATATACTTGACATTTGTGGGGGCTTTACCAATTAGCATTTATGCTTGGAGTACCCCTTTATGTAATGGACACTTGTAGTCTAGATAAGAAAGTGTCTCTGTTATACAGAGGTGTCCTTTACGTGGAGGTTATTTTATAAAGTAAGAAATGTAATTAGTACACTAGGTGCTGTCCGTTAAATGGAGGTGTACGCTATAGAGGGTGTATAGTGTGGTTATAATATTCAGTGACTACATTTATATAACATAAAAAATTAAAAA